ATTTTCCATCACATAAACAAAGTCCATCAGCAGCAGTCCTTAGTTAGGTTACTTACGAAGTTCACAAAAGTCCACAGAGATACACCAGGATGTATTACATGAGCTGGACATGATATGGACATAGGTGAATCAGTGAGACAAAATATCCTTATTGGTTAAGCACAGACAATAGAACTCAGGTGGAAACATGCTGGAGAGTCACTATAGTGAACCTTGCCAAAGCAGTTAGAGTTCAGCAGTGGCATTAATTGCCAAACCTGATGGATCAACTAGAATCTGCAGAGATTGCAGATTACTGCATAGATTAATTCAGCATTGCAAACAGTTTCATACCAAATTTCCCAGCTATAAGATTGCATTGACAAAGTTGGAAGTGCTTCATTTCTTTGTAGAGTCATAAAGTCGTACAGCACAGAAACAGACCCTTCAGTCCTAAATTTATCTGGTGCCATTTGCCAGCATTTGGGCCATATCTCTTTAAACCCAGATGCCTGTTAAATGTTGTAATTGTACCAGTCTCCACCATTTCCTCTGGCAGCTCATTCCACGCATGCACAACCATCTGCATGAAAATGTTGCCCTTGGGTCCCTTTTAAGTCTTTCCCCTCTCACTGCAACCTACGCCCTTGAGGAATTCCCGACCCTGGGGAAAAGACCTTGGCTATTCATCCTATCTGTGCCCCTCATGATTTTATGAACTTCTATACGGTCACCCCTCAGCCTCCGACACTCCAGGGAAAAATAGCCCTAGCCTATTCAGCCTCTCTCTATAGCTCTAACCCTACTTTAAGATCAAACTATTTAAGATTTACTGGGGAGCACTATTCATGTCAAAAGCTAAGGAAAGACCAGTATTTGTTACGCCAAATGAGTTATATCAATGTTAAGTGATGCCATTTGTGTTTAAAAATGCTATAGTTACATTACAAAGACTTACGAATCAAGTCAAGTCTCAAGTACCAAACTGTGCAGTTTATTTATACAAAGTTGTAATATATGGTGACACTTGGGAAGAACATATAAAACAATTAGAATACCTGTATAACCAATAATAGTTAGCTGGCTTCATAATAAATCTCGCGAAGAGTGAATTTGCAAAAGCAAACATAATTTAACTGAGGGAATTGTACAAGTATTGCCAACAACAACAAAAGTGAATAGAACATCTGATAGAATTCACCAATCCTAAAACTAAACAGGAAATCATGAGATTTCAGGGAATGTGTGGGTTTTCTCTGAAACTGATGTCTAATTTCAGCACAATAACCCTCCATTCAACAGATTTGTTATGAAATCAGGCAAATGTTCAGCAGGAAGCCTAACAGCCTTTGAGAAGCTAAAGGTCATCCCAATAAGTAGACTGGTATTGGCTATCCTAACTTTATGAAACTTTTAAAATTAGCTTCTGAACTTCTTGCCCATTAGATGGAGCATTTTACAGGTGTATGAAAATGTAGCAAACAGAGAAGAACATAGTTGTACAGAAAAACCTGGCTCACACCAAGCTTAAAATGCCCACCTCCACACTTTTGTGTTAAAAATACAAAAAGCACCCCATTGTCATCAGTCCCCACTCTAAAGTCCTTTCCCCACATACCAACTCCATCCCTGCCCTGCTTAAGGAAGAACCAGGCTTTTTGCAACTTTGGTGTCATATTTGACCTTCAAATCTCCAGCATCGCCTACTACCACCTCCCCACCATCACACAAGTGTACTCTGCCTCAGCTCATCAAACTCTCCTCCATGCCTCTGTTACCTCTAAACGTCATTGCTCTAACACAATCCAGGATGGTGGCGTGTTCTCTTCCCCTTCATAAACCTGAGGGTTTTCACGCTTCTGTCATCTGTGTCCTAACATGCACCAAATCCAGCTAAATATCACCCCTGTACTCACTGACCTACAATGACCTCCAGTTAAGAAACACCTCATTTGTAAAATTCTCATTCTTGTCTATAAATCCTTCACTGGCCTCTCCATTCCTAATCACTGTACTTTTCCTGATCATCCCTGACTTTAATCAATCCACAACATCTGCTGTCGAGCCTCTGGAATTCCCTCCCAAAACCTCTCGTCCATCCCTCTGTCTTCCTTTAAGATGGTCCTTTAACATTACCTTTGACCAAGCTGGTGGTCCTCTGTCCTAACGTCACCTTCTTTGTCTTGGTGTTGATATCTGACTCATTTTACACCTGTGAAATGCCTTGATTTTTTTTTTGCTAAATGGTAAGGCTGTTTTCTAAATGGAAGTTGTGGCATGGTTCAATGGTGTATAACCCTGCTTGGCCAATAGGTGGAGCCACCTTCCATATCCTTGGTGTGAAGTATTTGAGATTCCTGGAACCTCAAAGTCTCCAGTCACTTTCAAGCTCCTATTTCTGGGAGGTTGTTACTTTTATATCTGTTCCCACTACCCTTTCGGGCAGTGTATTACCATTCACTGCATTAAAAATTACTTCTGGTTCCTTTCCCAATTAATGTAATCCATGTCCTCTAGTTACATGCCAGTGTGAAACAACTTCTCATTATTTAGTCTATCAAAACCCTACATAATTTTAAATACCTCTATTGAAACTCCTCCTTAAACTTCTCTGATTAAATGACAATTCCAGCTTCTCGAGTCTCCACAATAAAATGTGATACTTGCACTGAAACACCTCATCAAACTGCAGCTCTCAAAGGGAAAACAGGAGACCACAGCCAGTAGCCACTAACCCTAATGACCCCAGCAAGTAGTAAAAGCAATCACACTTTTTTGCTTTTGATTTTGTGGGCCACAAGGGTATTTGATGCACAAAGTTTAAATGCACATCCAGCTGAGCTACCAATCTCATGTGTTGCAAATTCTAACAGGTCTCATTGTTCTGATTTTGGAGCCTTTTCCAAGACTCCAGGCTCTCATAGTTCAGATGGGAAAGCAGCCAATCATAGTACCAGCAGCAATGGACTTGCGCAAGTGACAAAGCGTGGATTGTGAGAGCTCAGACATTGTATGTGGTTGACCTACAGCATGGGGATCACACCATCAGTGATCTTCACCAACACCATGGGAGCTTCATTCACTGTAATTTCATCACACAGCATGAAGTCAAACATGCACAAACAAACATGCGCACAGACA